TCAGAGAAAGCCCAATGCAGTACATCTTCAGACTCGTGTTGCCCCTTCTACCATTCATTAATTGTATGGAGAATTCACGGACATGAGCTTTGACAAAGGAAAACAGAGATCGGGGATCCTGCAAAAAGCACCAACACCCAGCGGCCTACATTATCCACAACACGACCTAATCAAATAAAGAGACTGAATCCTATAATCCACCACCCAACCCCCATACTAGACACACGATCACCCACTGCGACACACAACAAGGAAGCGGAATATAAGATGGCCGCAGCCTGCACACATTCAGCCTGCCCGAATGAGCGATACATCGCCTCTTACCTTGGCTCTCATCTCGAGAAGAGAAGCCTGTGAATAAAGAAGAGATTGGTATTAATGATCAGCGCGGATGGTCAACCACGACGCAGGATGGATGCAGATTCTCTGAAGGCCGCCGCCTAGCACAGATACGCCATTGCTTACCTTCCTAAGATGGCACCAATGACAAGAGAACGTCACAGTCGCGGGCCGCTCTATTTAAACGCCTTATCCTGACGTCACATCCGGTCTGTTCTGCTGCTGCCGCAAAGACATCTGGGAGTTGTGGTTTCGAGATTGGATGGTGGAGTAAAGGAAACGCCAGTGTAATTCGCGCCGTTGGCAGTGCGACTGCGCAGGTCGTTAGGGAAGATACACAGGTGGTCAAATCCTGTGACGTGATTTTTTTTTTAGGGATTTGTTTGGTGGCAACAGTATACCGCTTCATACATTCACAGTCCCCATGAACACTGCTTTAGCATGTGTTATATTCACACGGGATGTGATATAACCTGGCTGCACCCAAGGCTTTCTTTATATTCCTTCTCTGCTTTTATTTGTAGTCGCTTTTGAACTTGTGTTTTGGGCCTAACTAAGGTTTTATTCACACTTGCTGTTACATGCAGAACAAAATCTGTCAGGATTATGTTTCTAGATGCATTAAATTATTTGTTTTTACGTGCATATGTATTAAATCGCGTTCACACGCATTTTCAAATCGGATCCTAGTTCCACCTGACTTCTGTTTTTTCTAAACACAGCTAAACTGACTGCATATAAAAGCATCTTAGCACCAAGTGTGAACAGATCCATTGGAGATCATTAGATGCATATATATGTGTTTAGAAAAACATTTTAAATGTGAATGTAGCCATGTGCGGCTCCAATGTAGAGCAGTGGTAAGTTGGACTAGCTTAAGGGCTCATTCACACCAGATGCAGTGCATTCCGGGCCGATTCTGGTCAGAACGCACTGCATCGCGGCCGGCTCACTATGTGGTGGGGCAGGAGGGTAGATGGTGAGGTGAAGTAAATGGCACCGTAGCCACGCCCTCCGGCTGCACAGGATCGCAAGGCACATTATGCCTGCGGTCCGATCAGAATAGTGCTTGCAGCATTTTGTTCGGATCGGAGGGCGTGGCTACTGTGCCATTCACTTCAATGGACCGGCACGCCCCCTCCTGCCCCACCACATAGTGAGCCGACCTCGATGCGATGCAGTGCGTTCTGGCCCGAATCGGGCCGTGACGCACTGCATCTGGTGTGAACGAGGCCTAAGTCCTGCCAATTACCATTCCAAAGATCTTCAGTGGCTAGTCAAGACCCTTTCATGTATATACAAACCAAGCATGCTTGTATATAATGCTTACCAAGTTGCCATGTGGATTAGACAATACATCATCTGACCACAAAAGGGTCTATTTGCTTCCATTAGCATGTTCAGCCACCAGGTGTGCAGGGAACCAACACACCCCGTCGTGTTTCCCGGGCTCCTCCCCACGGGCCCGGGACCTGCATCTTGGGTGTCGGTGGGAAGCTGGGGAGGGCCGATCTCCTCCCCGTTCTTTGGGACCGGAAGCGACACATATTGCATCACTTCCAGTCCCATAGCTGTTATTGCTTGGCTCCTGAAGCCCAGCAATAAGCTGTTGAAGTGCAATCTACACTTCAATAGCTTATTTAGAGTGTAAAGGTGATACTAGGGGTCTTTTGGACCCCCAGCATCACCTTAAAGAGAACCTGTCATTGCCAATATGATATCACATGGGGCGGCTTCTAAGCCCCCCATGTGATAGCAATTAACCACTTGCTGACCGCAGTGTTTACACCCCCTTCCTGTCCAGGCCATTTTTCAGTATTCAGCGCTGCAGTACTCTGACATTTATTCCGTCATGCAACGCTGTACTGAAATGAATTTTATACCACTTTTTGGGGACAGATAGAGCTTTCTTTTGGTGGTATTTAATCACCACTGGGGGTTTTATTTTTTACTATATAACGAAAAAAGTACAGAAAATGTTTTAAAAAAAACCTTTTTCCCTATATTATGTTAGGAAACATTTATTATTACCCAATTTTTTGTTAAAATATAAAAGACGGGGTCATGTTGGGTAAATGTGAAGCCTTAAAATTGCGCATGACTGCGAAATCGCAAAAAAACTACCACACCCAAAATTGGCCACAGGCAACCCTTTAAAAGATTTTACCGCTCATCAGTTTAGTGTTATCAGTGATTGATGGCCCTAAAATTATTACTGCGACGTTCGTGGTGATATGTAACAAGTGCTGCGTAATTGGAGCAATCGTTGCTTATGAGTTAAGGCGCACCTAACGCATTTTTGCGCATCTATGTGGGGGTGGGGGACTTTAAAACATTTTGTGGGGTTTCTTTTGTGTGTGTAAATTGTATTTATTTTGTGACCAATTTTTTTACACTTAACTTTATTGTTATCACATAGGGGAATAAGAATTCAGCTATGTGATATCAAATTACAGTGATAGGTCTTCTTTATGGAGACATCAGTGGTCTCTAAAGGTGGCCATACACCTGCCGATTATTGTACAATGATCCGCAGGTGTATGGAAGGCGTGCGACCGTTTCTACTGTACGGTCGCACGTCTTTTGTCTTACGAGCACGTTGGAAAACAAGCCGAAAATCGTACGGTTTTCGGCGGTTTTGTGGTGTGCTCGTAAGACAAATGCCGAACGGACCGGTCAGGACTGCAGTCATCGGAAGCCCTCTCCTCGGCAGGGAGGGCTTGCGATGATCGCAAGTACGATTTGCCTATCCATCTTTACAAACGCCGGACCGCTTGTATGTAAACGGCAATCGCTGGCTGGGGCGCACGCGGGCACGAAGGACGTTTACAGACGCCCACCCGCAGCCATTTCTGAACGTTTGGCGGACGGGAGGTGGTTAAAGTGAAGTTAATAAAAAAAATATAACAGTTTTCAAAAATAATGTCAAATGAAATAAATTGTAAAAATAATCCAAAAATGTTTTTAATGTCCCCCGCCCCCGCCAGCATGAGCGTCATAACATAAACAGGCGTCGGGTGCGCCTACGTATGAAAACGACGATCGCGATACACATGCTGGGTATCGCCGCACACGCCAGAGTGAGAGCAATAATTCTGGGGCCAATATTTATGCGTATCTCTAAACTGATGACCTGTGGGGGCTTTTAAATCTTCATCTATGGACTTTTTGGGGTTTTTGGACTTTTTGGGGTCTGAATTTTGTCGCCATTTCACAGATGCACACAATTTCTATCCTGGGCATGTTCGGTATCTATTTACTCATTGTAACCTCATCTTTTATATTGTATTAAAAACATGGGTATTGTTTTGTGTTTTGGGGCACTAATTTAACTTAAGTGCATTTTCACTAATTTTTTGTGTTTGATAATAAGTTGCGCTAATATCGTGCATTATATAAATTTTCAACTGCCAACATTTTATTCTACAGGGTCTTGGCTTTCAGAAAATATATCATGTTTGGGGGTTTGAAGTAACTTTCAGGTCTAAAATGTGGATTATGCGATGGGTGCAAAAACAGAAAAAAGGCCTCGTTCAATAAGGGGTTAAAATACTCCCAATACTCCCAAGTGCCAGTGGAATAACATGAGGTCCAATCATTGTATACATTTAATAACATAAGTCTCAATCATTGGTGACAGTGAAATAAAACTAAATTAGCAGCCAGCTCAGAGTTATATTACAGTGACATTAAACCCTCAGATTTTTTAACATAAAACAATACTGTAATGTGTGCCTTACTGTAACCCATGGTTGTTTCCCTTCTCTTTGCTGCTCTTCCTTTTAAATCCTCATGTCTTCTCATGCTGGGGGAGAACTTCCCTTTGCAGCAGACTGCCTTGTCTCAGGAATGGATATATGGTATCTGTGTGCAGGTTTGTATAGGTTTGTAACCTGAGTCAGCACTACAGGAAGAGGCCCTGAGCTGAAAAGGGAAGTTCTCCCCCAGCATGAGAAGACATGAGGATTTAAAAGGAAGAGCAGCAAAGAGAAGGGAAACTATCATGGATTACAGCAAGGCACACATTACAGTATTGGTTTACGTTAAAAAATCTCAGGGTTTAATGTCACTTTAACCAGTTGACATCCGATAGAGCCGCTGATCGGTTGTATGTGAAACAGCCGTTAACGGCTGTAGAAACGAGCGGGTCTTTCCTGCGCGCGCGAGCAGGAAAAAAATGCCGTCTGGACACGGCAACCCGCGGATGCGAGTCTGCCGTCCGTCCGTTTTTTCTTAACGAGCGGATGGCAAGAGGTTAAGCATCTAGAGTAAAACTACTACGAGAGTTCAGATCTGGATGTCACTGAACACTGAATGGCTGTTTAATCTAGGGCTGCATCTAACGATTATTTTCATAATCAATTAGTTAGTCGATTATTTTTTCCATTAATCGGATATTAAAAAATTAAATCCTATCCTTACTTTAAAAAAAAAATGACACAAATGCAGTGGTACAAACATAAAGTTTACTTCAGAATAAAACCGGATGCACAATTTTTTGCAATCGCACTGCACTGGAACGCACGACATTGCAGTACCTCGTGTTCTGGTGCAGATGAGCACACTGCAGGCTGCAGACGTGTTTGGCGTGCCACTGAAATCAATGGCACCCCAAGGCGCCTCCCAGAGCAGAATTTGTCAGGCCGAGACAGAAAATGACTTATTTTCCCACCTTTTTTAGGTTGGTTTTTTTCTATAATTGGGGGGGGGGGCTTTATTTTTATTTTTGCATTTAATTATTTTTTAATAATTTTACTTTACTTTACTGTTAGGGGCTTTAGGGAAATATCAGAGACTAAACATACCCCTGATATTTTCCTTTTGAAATAATAAAGAGATTGAGGACACAAAGTCCTCAATCTTTTTTTCTGCAGCCCCAGCACTGAGTACAGAGGCTTCCTGTTCATTCATAAATCGAGGAGATCTTATCGGTTTACTATGTCCATAATCATGAATGAACAGGAAGTTATGTAGAGCACTTCCTGTTCATTCATAATTGGGGACACAGTATCTGAATACTATGTCCTCAATTATTTACAAACATTGTAGTAATCAGTACTGATCACTGCGATGTTTGAATATTACAGGGAACGATTAGCAAATATTTTAAATAATTGCTGATCACTGCTCTCCTCCCCGCACCACCCTGCTCGGTCTCCTGACAGTTTTCTCCTCCCCGCT